TGAGGGCTGACTCCATGAGGAGAGCTTTTAAACAAATCTCTTTCTCCTTGGTTCATGGCTTGAAAGATTTACAAATTCAGCAGTTGTCACTAACTTGGGATTCTCTCAAGCATCATAAACATTTGTCATGTGGTTTGCTGATGGGACTGCGGCAATGAACACATGCCTTAAAGCCAGGGGTCTGAGGCATGCTCCTGCCCATGGCAATGTCCATAAGGGACTTATTAATACTGGAAAAACTACTAAAAATAAACTTCTAAGAGGGAACTACTTATAAGTAAAACAACTATTAAAAATGAGAAAAGTGACAGCAAGGGCTGTAACACTAGCACTCCAAGTACTTTCATTGGCAGCAAGAAGGAACTGAGAGCGGAGGGGTCTGGCAGTGCCCTATATATAGCGCAGCATGTGCATGCCACTCCAGGGGAACCTGTAGCCAGTCCCCTATGGATACTGCTGAGAGAAAAATCTTCTGGCAACGGTGCACATGGTGAGTTCACACACACATGTTGATTGAACATAAGCAAGCACTTGAAAAAGAACTATAGCTTCTCTAGTGTCCAAAAGGGGAAACTCTAGCAGTTCAATCAAATTTCCTGACAAAATCATAATGCTTGTGATATTACTACTAGTTGTGGCAATGGTGTATGTTACTACAGAAAAATTAGCTATAGTCTAGCCCAATATAGATTTTCTTAAGCTGAGGCAAGGAAACTTAGTATCCCTGTGTAGTGTTTCCTCCAAGTTGTCCTGTAGTGTTGGAAGGGTTAATGTTTCCTTCCCTATGCATGAAATTCTCTGAGATTTCATCCCTAAACTGATTCAAGTCCTCAATTCATAGAAGAGCCATGAATTTCTTTTCCAGGCAGTACTCTTGGGAAAAGACACCACAGCACTATCCAGCCAGCGAATGCATATCTTCTTCTTTTTGATGTAACATCTCGCAGATGTCTCTTCCATGAGTCTGTCCCTGAAGGTACAGATTTTCTTTGCTTTTTTTATTTAGGATTGTCTTAGATGTTGTAGGGGCTACCATAACTCATGACTGCCAGCTATGACCCCCTTAGAGACCATACTTCAAACTAAGAACTGCTGTAGCAGAGCAGAACTCTGCTCCAGAATTTGAGAACTCTCACAGCTAAGGCTTACTCTCTAGATGAGGTTGTCATGAATCCACAGATTGTTCCTTTGGTTGTTTATTTGCAACGGCAAATGCCCTGACCACTTACACACAAGAGTATTGGGCGTGTTATTTTCAATGGAAATCTCTTTAAATAAGAAAATATATTGATTGAGGTAACACAATGTATCTTTTTCCATGTTGTCCTTCATAAAGAAAGATAAATTCAATCAGTCTGTGTTTCTTCTTGTTCTTGCAATTTTATCCTTACCTGCTCTTTTTTTTTTTTTTAAAGCAAGGGAATTTTTGATCTGGAGAAAATATGGCAAGAGCAGCCCTCACAATAGAAACGCTGGATTTATATTATTGCCCTCATCTTATCCCAGGAAGAAAAGGCAGAAATGGTAATGCAAAAAATGTCCCATCTATATATCCCTGACTCTGATTTTGAATGTCCAGTTCAGTAAGTAGGAAGAAAAGTCAATCCGTGACTATTTAATTTTTATCCTCTCGGCTTAGACTAATACTAAGGATGTGTATTACTGGTGAGATAGGGTAGGGTAATTTTTGTTGGAACTCTGAATTGTCCATTCAAAATTGGATTCCAGACCACCAAGTCATTTAATGTATGGCACCAAATGGAGTTCACATGGCAATGTTTTTTCAATTGCTGGGTTTGAAACATTTCCATGACCTAAATGTGAAAATTTCTATTTCTGACTGTCGCAAATCCCCCACCCCCACCCCCAAGCTCATGTGGGAATGGGTCCTCGCGTTAACTGCACTGATGCCCCACTCCCTAGCTTTGCTCTGGGCTTGTCCCTTAAAGGGGGTTAGGTATCGGTCTACACCAATGCATTTGGGAGAGACCAATCTACCGCCCAGCAAGCCGCTAGTTTCCCCCTGGTTGGGGGGCGAGTCACACGAAGTCTGGGGTGGGGAGGCCTCGGTGCCCCTCGTGGGGTTACTCACAGCTCCTCTGGGTCTGTCGTGAGTGTTGCTCCAGGGGGTGACATCTTCGGCTGTCCCGTCTTCGGGTCCGGTGCGAGTCCTGGGGTCCAGACCACTCTTCCCCTGGTGTCTCAGTCCCTCGCCCTCGGGCGACCTCCCTGGCGCCTCCACTGACTCAGTGTCTCTGGTCACCCTGCCACGGCACCCCCAGCCAGTGTCTGCTCATTCGGCGTCTCCGGCCGCTTTCCCCGCCGCTGCTTGCTTGGACGCCCGGACCTGCTCCGGGCTCCCAGCTGCTTCCGCTGCCGCCTGGGATTCCTGACGGCTTCCCCCTCCGTCTGGCGTCTGCGGCCATTCGCCAGGATGCCCACGCCTGCCGCAGGCTCCCAGCCACTTCCGCCCCTGACCAGCTGGTCCGGCCACCTTTTAAACGTGGTGCGCGGACCTGGGTGCATGCGCCGCACCGCCGGGGGAGCGAGCCGGTTTCCACTCCCTTCCCCCGGCTCTTGGGATTGTCCATGGGAGGACCCAGGGACGGGGGCACCCCGTCACACTGACCAATACTCCTGAGCTGTCCAACTCCATAGCTTGTTCTCAAATCAACAATCTCCACATAAACCAAATCTGTGCATAACTATTAAAATATTTGATTTTCCTGTTGGCAGTGGCAAGAGAAGCAATCTTCTTGCCACATCTCCTTGCCTATGATAATGTGACTCTCAAAACATTAGGAGGCGAGATGCCAAAACCACAGTATAATTTTGTAATGGCCAGCCATTGACACAAATGTAGAATCTCCTCATCCGTGTTTAATAGGAACTAAAACCAATTCCAGAGGCTATTGTCCCTGAGTGGTATAGACCACATAATATCAATTTTAATTTGCAAGTAGTATGTAAATTTGACATTTTTTAAAGCAATTTTTCAAGCTGGATGAGTATCCTTTGAAGTTAAGGTATTTACCAAGCAAAGCGTCACATTTTCCCCTGAAGGTTGGACTGATACTTATCGAAAGTGACAGGATTCATGAGTATTTTTCCACTGAGGGTCCCTATCTTTGAATTAAAATAATGTACATGCACACAGAATTAAATAACCTACAGCGGGAAAATGCAGGTGAGAGTATGAAGGAATGAAAAAATGCACTCATATATACACAAACACGTAGCTTGGGTTAGTTAGCTTGTAAACAGAAGACAAAGTCAAGGACTAAATACATAACAATGGATGTTTTTTATGAAAAGTCTTCACATAATTCAGGTGCAGAGAGTATAATTCTGGCCCAGGCTGTGATTCTTTGACAACCTATTTCACAGTAGCAGATTTCAGTGGTTTTATAATCATAGATAATGCACAGATTTATAATAATGGCTTGTCAATGGGTGGAACAGCAGGACTGAGACCCATTATTTTCTCAGACATGTTCTCGGCATGTGCCAAGTACAGAGAAATGTGAACAATGACTATGGAAGAGGCAATAATGCTTTTCATATTCAAATATACTCCTGTGGATGGATGTACAGAAGCCTACCTGTTCATGTTTTTAGACAGAATTGCTTGGGAAATACTGACATAAATTAAGGTTTTATATATAGAAATATGCAACAAATATAGCATTTATAAGACTGGAGAGATAATCAATTGCATGTGGATTTTTTTCCTGAATCCAGAGCCTAGAAGTTCTTCACTACATATTTGCACTGCTTTTATTTCCACTTCCCTCGAAGTCTGCACTGCATTCACTTCTGTAAAGTCAATGAGAGCTGGACAGCATCAGTTTGATGTCTGTGACACCACATCTGAATTAGCCAGATGCACAGTGGCCTTTTAACCCCATTACGAAGTAATAGGTTTACACATTATTTTCACACTGAAGCAAAGCAGATATATGAAACTTCTACTGGTAGAGTAACAACATAAAGAACCCTTTAGATGCAGTGTTTCAGGAAAAGGTTCTCCTAAGATTCCACACTCTAAGCACGGTGGAGCTTAGTCTGTTTGACCTCCAAGAAAATCTCAGGATACTACAGGAAATAGAGTAACGCAGTCTCTTTCTTCATAATTATCACTGAAACAGACCCCTCACCCTATATAGATTGGACCTCCCCAAACTGGGACTCCCTCATCCAGCAACATTTGTGGTCTAGCAGGACCATGGGTGTTCCCGGATCAGGGAGACCTGATCATAATGTCCTGATCATAAAGTCCTAATTCAATAATTATATTCTGCCTACTGAAATTACTCTGCAGCTTTAACTGAACATCTATAGAGTGGACCCTGCAGAAAGCACAGTCACTAAAGAAGAATCAGTGTCAAGAAACCCATGTTTTTCCAGCTCTAAATCCAAGCTCTACTCCCCGAGACCACATTGTCTCATTTTTCTTCCACTCATGCCTTCTTCTCCCAAGTCCAGTGTGCTTTCATTTGTATCCCTCAAAGAAAGTCAATTCTTCTTCATGGCCCCCATATGTAATCAATCAGCAGACTGAATTAAAACAAATAGATTCTCTTCTTTTGAGTCTCCCACTGCATCTTTCATTTCTATCATTCATATTGGAAGACATGAATGGTTGTAATAATTTTTTGCCATTTTTCCCATACATCATCAAATACTATTTTCAGTGCCAAGCAATTCATATAAAACCAATATGAATTAATATAATTATTATTGTATTCACAAGCCCACTGTCATTGAAAGCAGGAGCCATTTCAGAGGAGATAGACAAAATTTTGTTCACTAAGAAAAGTAGCTGGTTTTCAACTTTTTAAATATAATATTAGTGACATCAGAAATAGGCTTAGAATTATCTTCAAAATTCATCTTAATCTTTCAATGAATTTAAAATCCTCCTTAGTTCCACTTTGATGGCCTTACAGGATACACTTGCAAAGCTGTTTTAAAAATAAATGGGGAGGGGGGAATTGTACCTTGGTGTTTGTCACTTGAAATGGAACTTTTGAGTCATTTGTAACAGGGGCTGTCAGCTTCTCAGTTGGTTTTGAAGGGATTATATTCGTAGCGGGAGGTTGATTGTGCAGAACGGAAGACAGGCAGAGTTGTACAGTCTCCTTCAGAGCTTTCAGCTGTGACTCCTGGGGAAAATGAGAAGTCATCAGCTCTTAAAGATAGGCTATATTGAGCAGTTCAGTTTGTTTTCTTTCTGCTCTGAACCAAACACTTGGCAACAGCTGTAGGAATCTTTTTTTCTTATTAAAGCAGGAAATTAAAGCAATATACCTTTTACATAACTGACCGATGGGTTAGAGTATGTACATTGCACATGAAACAGACTGGGAAAGTCAGAGTAAACTCCCTTCTATTCTCACACAATTTTACCAAGATGTCTTTTTTAAAAGATCGCTTATATTCAAGAGAGCTAAGATGTAATCTACCAAGCATCATACAGTTTACAGGGCTGTAACATCCTTTGTACGTAGGTTTGCTGGAGAGAAGCAGACATTCATTTTGTGTTTCATACAGACAGAAACATAAATATAGACATACATGTGTGTATGTGATATTGTAACACTCATTCCGGATATTTAGTATTTCTGCACAAGTGTATTTATTGGGACTGAAAGATTTTCTCTCACACAGACATAGTTAATAATATATTCATAGATTGGTTTAGATTGGGAACACTCAGGATCCAAGAATTGTGAGTGGTAAAATGAGCTGCTGTTCCCAGAATATTTAGGTAACACTTCCTATAATTATACCAAATAATTATTGGGAGTGTCTCCAACTATTGTAAGAACAGCAGCTCATTTTACCACTCACAATTCTTGGATCCTGAGTGAGTGAGAGTGAGAGTGAGAAAGAAAGAAAGAGAAAATTCATTCTCCAGATTTGGACAGAAAAACTGAGTATCCTGAATGAGTGACAGAATACTCCCAAGGAGTTATGGTATAACAATCTTATAGAAAGGCATGCAGACTCAGACCACTCCTAGGCTGTGTCTAGACCACATCTCTCTGTCGACAGAGAGACGTAGATTAGGCATTTCAAAATTGCTAATGAAACAGGGATTTAAATATCCTGCGCTTCATTAGCATAAACATGGCCCCTGCTTTTTTCCGAAATGGAGCTTTTTTGAAAAAAAAAACCCAGCATTCTAGACACTGATCTGTTGAAAATAAACCCTTTTTTGACAGATCCTGTAAACCTCATTTTTTGAGGAATACAAGATCTGTTGAAAAAGGGTTTATTTTTGACAGATCCGTGTCTAGACTTGCTTTTTTTTTCCGAAAAAGCTGTTTCAAAAAAAAGTGGAGGCCATGTTTATACTAATGAAGCGCAGGATATTTAAATCCCTGTTTTATTAGCAATTTCGACGTGCCTAATCTACATCTCTCTCTGTACATCTACACTGCATGGCTATTTTGGGATACCTCCGGTATTCCAAAATAGCTACCCTGCATCTACACAAGCCACCCATTATTTCAAAATATTTTTTGAAATAACACGCATGTTATTTCACCATCCTGGTAAACCTTGTAGCATGTTATTTTGAAATTTGGCACTGTGTAAATGCACCAAATTTCAAAATAGTTTTGAAACAAGATACACAACTTGCATAGCGCAAATTGCGTATCTTATTTCGAATTTAGGATGCTGTGTAGACGTATCCTGTGATAATGGGGGCCAGGTAAGTATCTTATGCAGACAGATCCAAACATACTGTAACGGTTAAAAAAAAATGAGACAGAAAGAAAAAGCCACACTACAATGCAGCTATAACTGTGTATCTATAGTAATTTAGCTGTTTATATCTAGTGCCTTTAGCACTGCTAAGCCAAATAACCAAGAACAAATATCCTGAGATTTTTTTCCTCATTTTTAAATATTCTGATAACTATGATGTGCTTTCCATTAAAGAAGAATAGAACTGAGCTATCAGACCCACCTTGCTTCTAACAAATTAGAACCTAGAGGTAAATCACATAAAGAGCCCTGTTTGGAACCCTGAAGAGCACAACTTGGGTTTTATTCCAGGAAAAAAAATCCAGTGTGAAAAATCCTAAGAATGTCATGAAGAATTATTGCAAAAGCACTATTCAGATCAGAAAGATGAAAATCATAGAAACAATACATGGACTGAAGACAAAAAAAGAAAAGAAAAAAAAAAGAGGACAGAACAGAATAGTTTTCCTGTTTCCTTCCTGTGGGAAAAAAAATCTGTAATTCAGTGCAGCGACTGCATAGACTTGCCAGAATAAATAAATAAAAATCATCCAATAGGAATGCATTTTGCCTGAGATGAAGGGCTCATTAAAGAGTGAAGGCTTGATCTTTGAGTCTAGTTCATATTTTCACAGTACAGGGATTGACTTGGGGTGGGCAAGGAACAAAATAGAATTGTTTTATATCATCTTTCCACTCACCAGATCCCCAGGCTGTTGAAGGTCAACTTATAAATCTGAAAAGCCCAGGACTTCTTTTATAGAGGACTGTGATGGCACTAAATACACTCCAGCCAAAACCCTTCCACACAATATATCTCCTACACTAAGTTTCTGAGGGGCAGTTACATAAAGCAGGGAATCACTGGCCAATTAGGTCAGTTACAGGCTTCCTTTATACCATCAGAGTGGCACAAGGAAATATATCTGGATCCAGCTTCAGATTTTGGCTGATATTTGAAGTATCTGACTGTGGTTCAAAATAGGCAATATAGCAGCTATAGAATGCTATCCATTTCTAAAGCAGTTATATTTCCCAAACCATATACTTTGTTGTGATCTTTCCTCTCCTCCAGACACTGTGTGCACCAACTTTGTGAGATCAGTATAGTAAAGCATTAATTCGCTGCAGAAAAAAAGCCTCCTAGCTCAGTGGAAGGAGTATAAACAACAAGAATCACAGAAACCCAAAGATTATCAAATAAAACATATTTAATAAAAGACTTTAGCATTATGCTCAGTATTGTCTTATCTATTTTTTAGACTCCAGTTTTTCTACCTTCCACCTTCCCATCCTCCCCACGTCCATATAAGCTTAGCTTAATGCTTTGAGAGAGAATGCAGAGTGGTCATCACATTAGCTGCCATATCAACACAAGATGAGCCATAGGAAAAAATCAGGCATGGCCAAAACCCCAAATTCCTGTACCAAAAGAAAATTCTGAAATTTATTTTTTGTTCTGAATTGGAACAAGTAAAAATTTCACTTTGGGAAAAAAAAAAACCTTATATTTTATTTTGATGTTACTGAAATATTTATTACAGTAAGGTCAAAAGTGTTTCATTTTGATAAGGTAACAACATTTCATTTCAACGTGATCAACTCAACTTTTATACATTATATACTTTAGCTGGTTCTTGATTTGCTTAGTCATTCGTAATGTTTATTCTAACTAGTGATTGATTAGCTTGGTTTACTCAATTAGAATTCTAACTATATTCTCATGTCTCAAAGAACATCTCACAGAACATTAGGCAAGTTGCAAACACTGAATTAGTTCTAATGAAAATATTAGGTCTTTTGCTCACAATGTGTAAGACAGTGCCTGACTTGTGTAAGCATGCAAATAGAGCTTGGGAGGATTCAGAGAAACTCCAAGGGACAATCACAGTTCCACACTTGTGGAAGATCAATTATTGCTTCCTCCATGCTCCCCAAAGCACCAAGAAAAGGCAATCCATCATGCAACTCTCCATAACCAATAACTGACATGCAGATCTAGCTGGGTACACCGAGGGAAGAATGCCGCACAATCTCAAGGGATAACTAGCTTGCAAATTTCCTCTATGCCCCCAGGAGGTGAGGGATGGACTGTGGCTCAACTATTCCCATAGGGTTAAATACATTTCAACTTCATCTAGCTTGGGCCCCATGGCTCAGGGGTAAAATCAAGCCCAAAAGTTGACCAAATATCAGCATCTCTTTACTGCAAGGTAACCTTAGAATTTGATCTGAATTTCCCAGATATTTTACCTTTAATCTTATTGATCACAATTGTCAAAACTCCATATCTGAGTTTAACTTTATGCACTGATAAGTTCCACTGACTTCAGTGGGACTACCTCGAGTACATTAAGTATAAGTCTTTGCAGAACTGACGTCTTAATTTGTATTTCTTTGTCAGGATACACTGTAGCATCCACAGCTAAGAGCGCTAAATATCTTCACAACATCCAGATACATTCTTACTTTGTCAAGGGCTGCCTTTTCCAACTCATCTTTTGCAATTGCTAGCTTTTGCTGCAGATCTGTTAGCTGTTGTGCCTGTGAGAATAAAAAAAAAAAAGTAGTTGATGTAATTTACAATACAATCATTTCCCCAGTAATTTTGCATGCTATGCCTGCGAGAGAGGTAAAGGTTTAACTTTGAAGATTAATGTCAAAATTACCAAACCCCAAGGGTTATTTTTTACTGAGAAATGTGGCTTTTTATGTGGGAACTGGCCCCAATCCTGCCCTACTTATGTCAATAAAGTTTATTCATTAAAGGTGTGTCTAGACTACATCCCTCTTTCAGCAGAGGGATGTAAATTAGACACTTCGAAAATGCAAATGAAACCGGGATTTGAATTTCCCATGTTTCATTTGCATAATGGCATCATGGCACTCTTTTGAAAAAGCGTTATTTCGAAAGTGAAACCGCAGTCTAGATGCGGGTCTTTCAAAAATAGAAGCCTTTCTTTACAGGACCTTTCGAAAAAGGCTTCTATTTTCAAAAGAACCACGTCTAGACTGCGGTTTCACTTTCAAAATAACGCTTTTTCGAAAGAGCGCCATGACCCGATTATGCAAATGAAACGCGAAAAATTCAAATCCCGGCTTCACTTGCAATTTCTAAGTGTCTAATTTACATCCCTCTGCCGAAAGAGGGATGTAGTCTAGACACATCCTAAGTGCAGTGGCAGTAGAAAACCTTCCTTCCTCTCCCAACCCCCAGGAAAGCGCACGTACTGTGACAGGCTGCAGAGTCTGCTCTCTGCTAAATACTAGGTTAACTTCAGTTCTGCTACTCCCTCCTCTCGTGTATGGCACAAGCAAGGATTATAGGAATGGCTGTTTGCAAGACAGAGTAGGGTTCAGATCCAGCCGCCCAGACTTGCATCCCAGCAGAAGCATTTTTCTCACGAAAGAGACCTAGGTAACTTAGATAATGTTGTGTGTGTGCTGAGTCATTTCACTGGCTTACAACTTAAATCAGTCTGGCTGAGTTTCCTTAATTAACAGCAGTAGTGATATTTTTTCCCCAAAACACTCAGTGTAATTCAATAGAATTTTGCCTGCTGAGAAAGAAAATTCTGGTAGGGAATTGAACTTAAGGAGTTAAGAGGTCCTAGCTTCATATGGTTGTGCCACCTACAAACACATGCTATGTAACTGAAGAGTTGGAGGTTTTCATTTTATTGTCTCGCTTGAAAATATAAACAGTTCTGTACTTATTTTCAGTGTTTATGAAGGAGAAAAGAAGAAAGGATATTGGACCAGATGGCTATCTTTTCCATCTGAAACTAATGTGGCATTGAACATTTCTTGAGTATGAATAGCTCTGTAAGGTTCTAATCCATCACTTATAAAGGATACCAAATTTTAGGCCTTTGTAAGATGTTTAATCAAACAACCCGTTGCTAAAATATGGGTACATCTAGACTGCAAGCTTCTTTCGAAAAAAGCTTTTTCGGAAGATCTTCTGAAAATTTTTTTTTTCAAAAGAGTCCACACTGCAAAAGTGTATTGAAAAAAGCTATGTGCTTTTTTGAAAGATAGCATCCAGCCAGCCTGGATGCTATCTCACATGTAAGCAGTGATTGCTATGGACGGATGGCCACCCGGGCACCTGTGCTTTTTCTTCTTCCCTCTTCTTTCAAAAAAACTCTCTCTTCCACATCCACACATGCTTTTTTCCAAAAGAGCTCTTTAGGAAAAGGTGTTCTTCCTTGTAGAATGAGGTGTACCACTTAGGAAAAGGTGTTCTTTCTTGTAGAATGAGGTGTACCACTGTTGGAAAAACTCCTCTGTTCTTTTGATTTTCTTTTGAAAGAACATGATTGCAGTGTGGACACAGGTGACATTTTTGGAAAACCAGCCATTTTTCAAAAAAAAACCTGTAGTCTAGATGCTCCCTATATTACTCATCTATCCCAGAGATACCTCGGTCCAGATGTTGATTTAGGATGAAACTTCACCTATTGCTATAATTTCTCAGAACATAGTTTCTTGAACCATCTTTTAAAGCATGCGACACACTCACTATCAGAGATAGAGTATTGACCTATATGGACCATTAGTTTGATCTAATAAGACAATATCTCTGTTTATTAGAATAAATATGGGCCTGATTCAAAGCCCACAGAAGTCAAAAAGTTACTCCCATTGATTTCAATGGGCCTTTGGCCAATGGTTTATAAGCAAAAGTCTGAATAAAGATTGAGAAGCCGTTCTAAGGGTTCAAACCTGCTTTTATCTTTCACTGAATATAGTCATTGGAAGTACTCAGAGTAAGCTATAAACCTGACAGTAAGTATTTTCAGAATTGAGTTTTAAACTGAGTCACCTGATGTAGTTACTTGAGAGAACTTCAGATGTGAGTAACCACATCATATGTATTCTTAAATTTTAAAATTACTCATTTTATTTTTAACATGTGTATTTTAACATTGTAGGCACAAAACTCCTTAAGGATTCTTCTTAAAAATAATCCAATGTTCAAAGATCTTTAAGGTATTAACATCAGGCACTCTAAAGTCAGGAAATGCAAGAATTAAAACTGCTTGTGCAACCTTAATTCACTCCTTGTGTATCCATGCATTATGACACAGTCTTTAATTACTCCAGGGGTCTCAAACTCATTGCCAATAGACCATCTATGTCCTGAGCAGTTCCACACTCTGGCCCATGCTGCAATCAGAGTCCCTGTAGTGCATGTAGAGACTAGGAGGGAGCGGGGTGCACTGGTGCCAGAAACCTGTAAACTGTCAAGTGACGTGTCCCCCATAAAATGCATAGGAAGGTAACCTCCCCCCCCCCCAACCCCACACATGTTTACTCGCTTATCTTATCGGGGGGAAATCCTTCCTTGCCTGACATATGGCAACTAGCTAGATCCTGAGGATGAGAGAAAGAACCAGCCAGTTGGGCAGGCAAAAGAAATAATGACATGAGAGCCCTGGCCCTCCCCATCTGGTCTCATTTCAAGCCATGGCCATCGCTAATACTTCAGAGGAAGGAGATGAGATAAAAACAAACAGCCCAGAGCACAGTGGGGGGAGGGAGGAAAAATCCCTTCCTGAAAGGGAAGCAGTTGGTCAAAACCCTAAAACATGAGCTTTTAGTAACAGAAGACAGAAGTAGGAAGTAACCGCTGACTGTTGACTATACCTACTATCATGACATGAAGCTCTGATGTACAACTGCAATCAACATTTGCCCACCTGTCAGGACCACTCTTTTGTCTGGCTTCTTGAAGGATTTTTCTCTCCTGCACCTGTCTACCACCCTTTGCTTAAGTTACTGAGCTCCTTCAAGCAGCACGCACATGTCAGGTCAGGAGGTGCAGGCCTACCTTGGCCCAGCGAGTGCCTGCATAGCTCAGCACAGACTCATGGAGTCCATGGAGAAAAATTAGTGGAAGCTCAGCACCCAGCAGCAGCCAAGTTCCCCTGTTGTCCTCTCCCTGCAATGCTCCCCCCGCCCCGAACATTCTAATCTACATCTCTTTCTCCTCCCAGCATTTCCTGCCACTGCAAAACAGCATTTTTGGGGTGTTCAGAGGCTCTGGGAGGCAGGGAGAGGAATGGCGGACATGGCACATTTAGGGCAGGTTGTGAAAATTCTTATTATTAGATGCTGAATGTCTGACGTTCACTTTGTATTATTGAATTTCCTTGTATTTCTGTTACTCCAGTCTTCAAAGTCATCCTGATCTTCCTGTATAATGTTCCAATTCTCCTCTGTATTGACAATGCCTCCGAACCTTGTAGCATCAGCAGATTTCATTAGCACACTCCTACTCTTTATGCCAAGATCATTAAGAGAAATACTGAATAAGATTAGTTCCAAGACACATCTTGGATGGACTCTATGAGCCACACCCCTAGTCTGATAATTACCTTTCAACACAATCAGATGCCTTTTCCACCTTAGCAAGTCCCCATCTGCCTGACTGCTCTTGTACTGATCCCCATCGTTACCATTTGCATCCATCAATTGAATTATTCTTTCCCTTCAAAATGTGTTCTAAAGCCTTGCACACCAGTGAGGCTAAATTTACACATCTGTAATTGCCTAAATCGTTTTTGTTTCCGTTCTTAATTACAGATATGATGTTAACTATTGTCCAATTATAGACAGATTTATTAAAACTTATTGCTATTGGACTAAAAATCTCATTTTTAAGGACTGGCAGGATGCAAACCCAGGTCACCCAGCAACAGAAGCCTCCAGACTACCACTTGGCAGCTGCTGCAATCCAAACAGTCCCTGCAAACTGCAGTACAGGTACATACTATAGGCAGCCCTGACTAGCAGTAATGCTAGAGGCTTCCAGTTGGCCTGCTGACATAATAAAAAATTCACAGGGTGCATCAGAAAGTATCCAAGTATCAATATGAATATCTAGCAAGCTCCCACAATCAATTCTGCTTCTCTTGCTTTTAAACTCCTGTCATTGATTATGATTCTGACTTTTATTCAGACCCTTGTTCTGGATCCAGAACCGACACAGATTGTGAGATCTGGTACTGAACTGGCATCTAAAGGTGTGTCTACACAGCAGGGCTTAACTTGAAATAAGCTACGCAAATTGTGCTATGTCAATTGCATAGCCTCTTTCGCAATAGCTTATTTCAAAATAGGGAGCATCTACATAGCACTTTCGAAATAGAGCACTCTTCTTCTGGCTTCCCTTAGTCCTTACACAATGAGGATTACAGAAGCTGGAGTAAGAAGTCCTCCAGCTTGACAGTATTTTGACACTATTTCAAAATAACTGCCTGCTGTGTTGACATGGACTAAGTTATTTCGGAATAGAATTAGTTATTTCAAAATAGCGTTGCAGTGTAGATGTACCCTAGGTGTTTTTTGAAAACTAGACTGACCCCTTAAATACCTTCCATCTGAAGAAGTGGTTGTGCCCATGAAAGCTCATGATACCATCTATCTTGTTAGTCTCTAAGGTGCTGCAAGACTATTTGTTCTTTTTAAAGTTTTTTTCCAGTTACAGACTGAGGGTATGTCTACACTACCCCCCTAGTTCGAACTAGGGGGGTAGT